TAATAGGCCTCCAATGAGCTTAAACCATTAGAGAGTGTGTGTGTGTGTGTGTGTGTGTGTGTGTGTGTGTGACATTGTGCCCACCCTGATGTCTTTAGGGTGCTCCCCCTCAGCAATGCGCACCATCCACAGGAACTTGTTGATGTCGTCACCTGAGTAGCCAATGACTCCTCCGAAGATGATCAGGACATAGTCCACATCCAGGGACCTCATGATCTCGTAGGCGGCGGTCTCATTGGAGGACATGGCTTTGCCCACCTGGACCGGAACCAGCAGACTCAGGGTAAGTTCAGTGTCTGAGTGCATCGTGTGGTTTCAGCTACTGCAGGAAAACTAGCTCTGTACTCAGCTGCTGTCTGATTCTGCTTTTTACCAGCTCATAAACTGAGAACAAAAACACAGATCATGTTGACAGAGGTTCAACTCAGACAAGTTATTCTATAGATTGAGTGTTTTTGCTGAGTCGTGTTAGAAACAAAAGGTTCTGAGTCTTAACCTCGTCATTTCTGATCATTCAAACTCAAAATTGACAGTCAGATAGCATCTGTTATCAGTCTGGATCGATTCTCGTTCAAATTTGGGAAGATCGATTCATAAGTCACGAGATCGATTTTTTTCCCCATGGGTGTTGTGTGTGACGAAGCTGCGTGTTTCCGTGTTATCTGTCACTCCTGGCTTGCCGTAGGTTTACGTCCAGTCGACGGTCAGTGCTAATGTTAGCTCCCGACAACAAGTTGTCTGAATCAAAACAAAAGAAACTAAGGAATCACTAACATTACAGCTGATTCTCAGCTGAACTGAAAGATAACAGAGGTCATGACAACTAAAGATTTGCACTCGGACGCGGTTGCAGGAAACGAAGCTTCGAGTGGCTCGAACCAAAACTACGGTTTGTAAACATCTGAGTGACACTGATCTCCTCTGCATGTACAAWTGTGTGAACGATGTCAGACTAACAAAATGCTTTAGTTTTGTTACCAATATTATTTATAAATTTTAGAAACATCTTAATGTAATTCACAGTGATGGAGTGTTTTAGCTGAAGTACTTTTTTTTCTGTCGTTCTTGTTAATAAGTTTTATTGAACAGAAGCTAACAGAAACATTACAAATACACAAAAATGGACCAAAAATGTGGAACAAAGTGCTTTTACACGTTAGACAGATCTCTTCCTGTGGCTTTTAATTCTTGCTTAAAACTGATTTTTATTCCTTTTTTTTTTTTTTTTCATTTTTATTCTTTGGCTTTTCCTGATATGTGTTTATTATTTTTTTATGGTTTAATTGATTTTTTCTTGTTATTCTTTTATCTTTTAGATCCAGTGTTACTGAATTAGTTGTACATTTGTTTTCTGGTACTGCGCCGTACGGCACTTTGTTCCATGGAGGAGTTTTAAAGGACTTTATAAATGAAATCAAATCGAATATTCAACTGAAATTGAAAAGAAATAGTTTTAAAAAAGGATTTCTTTAGGAATGTTTGCCTCAGGACGTGCCCTTTACTTTTATCCAGAATATGTACTGATACACTTTATCCACTAGGTGGAGTCATAGACATACTGTATTTGACAAAACTGCACCAGAAAGTCAGTTTAAGGGTCAGGAGGACAGAGATAGAAAAGCAGGAAAAATAACTTTATGTCTGCAACCTAAAATCAAAAGTAAATTTAAATGACAGTAATCCAAAATGTACTTATTCAGTAATGAAATAAAAACATTGTTTCAAACAGGTGACCTGACTAATCATGGGTTGGTACATAAACCAAGATTTTACTGGATGAAAGTTCATTGGATGTACATCTACAATTAATCAACTTTTCTAGCCCAACTAATTCAAGACGTTCCCAACAGCCTAACAGTCAACACTAAATAGATACTCTGTAAAATATACATATATAGAGCTAAAGTTTGATGTGGTAGAAGYTGAGAGCGCTAAAAAGAATATGAGTATATACTGGGTTTTCTATCCAGTATCAGGACATCAGAAGTTGTAGTGGTTCTTACCAGAGCTATATGACTGTTGTTCCACGTGTTGTTGTCCACCAGAGTGGTCCTGTTGGCCATGCCTGCTATCTGGTAGCCGTAATCCCACCATGACATCACTCTGGCATGCTCATCTGTGTTCTGCCTCAGCCAGTAGTACGCCTCTCTGAAGTCATCTAGGATGTTACGGGAGCTGAGGACGACAGAGAGGATGAGGAAGACGATCAATCAGAACATCTTTATCACCTGGCAGATAATGTTTTGTCCATTTTACACTTTTCAGTTTATTAGAGAAAAGACAGACATCTCAGCAGACATACACCTAAAAATTAATAAATAGATTGAAATATCACAATATTTCTTTTCTCGATACTGTATTGATTCTCTAAAGCACTGTATGAATATTTAATAAAAGCTTCAAATGTAAACTTTGATGCCAGTGGTTCTTATTTGTGTTGTATTTAGCCATCGGCCACTAGTTGGTAGTAGTGAGTCATTTAGTTCCTCCACTCCTGAGAAGCCTGTGATTATAACGCTATATTAAACGTTAGCATTGTGAGCAAACGTTAGCATTGTGAGCAAACGTTAGCATTGTGAGCAAACCTTAGCACTGTGAGCAAACGTTAGATTGTGAGTAAATGCTAACATTGTGAGTAAATGTTAGCATGTGAGCAAACGTTAGCATTGTGAGCAAACGTTAGCATTGTGAGCAAATGTTAGCACTGTGAGCAAACCTTAGCATTGTGAGCAAACGTTAGCATTGTGAGCAAACGTTAGCATTGTGAGCAAACGTTAGCATTGTGAGTAAACGTTAGCATTGTGAGTAAACGTTAGCATTGTGAGCAAACGTTAGCATTGTGAGCAAATGTTAGCATTGTGAGCAAACGTTAGCATTGTGAGTAAACGTTAGCACTTAAGTACAGATGGCTGATACTGAGCAGATCGCTGCCTCCTTCTAAGCTAAGGTCGAATGATCCGGCATTTTAAGACAAACTGAAGTGTCCCGTACAGGACGCTCTTTCTCACTGCAGCCTGCAATCAAAGCCATCATGACTCAGCAGATAGGTAGGCATTTGTCTAGCACCCCGAGGGACAGTACTGAACTGACAAAATGCAATGACCATATGAAACACTGAGCACTGAAATGACTGGCGTTCTCATGTTTCCCTCTCAAGTGAAAGGAGCCCTGTGACAGAAACACAGACCTTAGCTTCATTTGATCCGTTTACTGAACTTTAGCACAACATATAGGTTGTTGTTAGTGTGGTGGGCGACCACATTCTTATAATAAATTACTATAAATCTAAAAGATGCCACAAATATATTATTAAACTATTTAATGGCACGTTTGTCCTAACCATTGAAAACACATAAAACAGTTTTTTGAAATTAGAATTTTTTGAAAAAAAAAATGGCAATTTATCACAATTTGTCACAATATATCATATTGTGACCCATGTCATGTTATGTATCATATCACCAAATTCTTACCAATAAATAACTCTAGTAAAAATCAGATCAAACAGCTCATCTTTGTAAACAGGCAGGATTGTTTCCTCCTGTGATTTTTGTCCCGTTCACCTGACTCACCCGTCGTGGTTATAGGATGCCAGCACCACACTGGGGCTGGAGTAGGCGTTGCTGGTGACCCAGGTGCAGTGGACAGCAAACATCATGAGCAGCATCARCATCAGCATGGTGACTATGGAYTTAATGTTGGGGCCCAGGCCCTCCTCGGGCTTCTCCTGCTCCGACACGTGTTTCCTCACCTTCCCGGCCTGCAGGTAGAGCAGCTTGTAAAGGTTACTGAGCCTCTGTTTGGACGTTCAGGCAGGAAAAACGGGACTTTATTGTCCTTGAGGACAGTTAATTTTCCCCCACCTCTCAGACAACAGAGTGGCAAAGAGAAAGCCAGTGTTGAAGAAAACTGAGTGAAGTCTTTTAATCTACACAAACTTTAGTGAAGGATTATTACAAACATAAAAGGAACGCTGACCTTGTCGTAAAGGTTTCCTGCGTTCTTCCTGTCGTCCTCGTCACTGCTGTCGTCTGTGGGTGGGCTCTGTCTCTTCGTGTCGTCACCAAGGTAGTGTTCAAAAACACTGGAGAAGGCCACAGCCGACAGCATGCAGACCACCGGAGTCAGAGTGAGCATCAGACGCACCATTACACCCGCAAAGTACACAGCGCTGATGGCATACAAGGCCACTGGAGAGCGGGGGAGGGGGAGGGGGGGTTAGTCAAAGAGCTCGACAGTAATTCACCAGGCTGCTGTTACAACAAATACAATTACATGGATGAACTTTTATTTCCATGCAGAGAAAGTGAGTCACGCAGCGAGAGCTATGAAGGAAAGGCTTTGCTGGCCGCCTCTAAAGTAAAGACGCAGCAAAAGGTTTCAGAACTGCTTTTTTGTGGCTCAGGAAATAAATAAGAAACCAAAGGAGCCTAAAAACAGTCTTGCTGTCAGCAGTGGTTTGTCACTGACGTAATCAGCAACTGTCAGTGCTAACTGTTAGAACAGAGAAGTATTGTGCAATCACCAAAGACCCGCTCATCGTTGATGTTCTTGATGCAGAACCAGAGGCCTGCTGGGAAAGTACAGACCAGGATGTGCAGGTCAAAGAAGAAGGACACCCAGGTGGTGGGCTGGTGCTCCGACACCGACGCGATGATGGGAATGTGGATCTTAGCGTAGCTGTGAAACACATGGAGGATAAACTGAACAGCTGTATCATTAACACAACGTGACTGTTAAACTAATCCTGTCTGATCTGAGGACAGCTGCTTTACTTCCTCTGCACCACAGGGGAAAACATAACATCCACACAAGAGACCTGATCAGGATTTCTACGTTTTTAATGTTTCATAAAGCTAAACTGGCCAGCATTGTGAGGTATTCAGAGTTTGTGTCGGGGACGATAATCAGCTGCTAATGAGATAAAACTGAGTTGGAATCAGTTTTATGTTTACTAAGGAGTTGGCTGTGGCGGCCATCTTTAATTTGGGTGACCCCAAAGTTGAAAGCTGTTGCAGATGTACATCCAGTTATTGTATTCTGAACGTTTCAATAAATTCATCCTGTGGTTTGAGATATTTTGCTAACTAACAAAGCTGACATCAATTTTGATAGAAGAGAAAATGAAACCAGCTTTCCCAGTAACTTATAATATGCTGTAGAACATAAGTTATTGTTTGAGTTKTCCACTCTACTAACTGCGTGAGAGAGAATCATGATGGTTTTATATTGTTGGGTACAACGGTGTAAAAAGTGATAAATAAAGCAAAGTTTTGTTATTTCGTTATATCCTGAGGATTAACAGCAGAAAACATGAGTTAACTTTGCTACTACGCATCGAGCGTCAACAAGTGTGGCTGGCTAATTTGTATTTTAAATTTTTGTGCCTGGCTAATAAACAGAGGAAACGCATGCTGGTTAATACWGCACAGATTTGAACTAATCCCTTTTTTAGCAGTAAGGACAAATTCAAATGTTTCTGAAAGTAACAAAACTGATCCAGACAGCCTGTCAATCAGTTGGAATGGAGAATAGAACTGAACGTCAAATGATTACATCTAAATACACATTTCTGTTCTTGTAAAAAAGTTCATAATTTAAATGTACATTCATGCTAATTTGAGACCAGAAATAGTATTACATCTAAAAGCAAATATATTACTTTGGTTGAAAGAGTCCAAAAACTTCAAAGATTGTGGTTTATCCATAGCGTCTTATAATTTACAATGTCGACATGTGTGACTGAGGGCAGCAACTCTGCATACATTTAGTTTTTGTCCTCCTCGTATCTCAATAACAGCAAATCTTTCTTTTGTGGCTTTTTAATAAACTATTGTGTCTCAGTAACACGATTCAGTCTTTGATGAAGTCAAAGCTCACAAAAACATAGAAAAAACAGGTGAAAACTTAGCCTCACACTGCTCACAGTTTRCAGGTCCACTATCAATACAGTATGAGCAGCTTCAGGTCCAGCCTTGTAGGAACTATCTACAGATGATGGCAAAGTTTTAAAAACAGATGCCTCTCATACAGTCTGAGGTCACGTTGTCACTGACTYACAGCTACACAAATACAACACAAACAAATACAACAAATAACAACACAAATACTGAGCTCAGCGTCTGTAAAACTGATCTTAAATGACACTTTTGTGTTTACTGAGGTCACTTTGCTGTTTAGACCACCTTAAAAAGGGATTGAATCTAACAGTTAATAAGATGGCGACGTACATTTTTATTCATGATGACGTTCATCACAGCAGATAAACATTTAACAGCTTCACACATAAACACCTGAAGCTCAGTTATGAGTTCAGCACGTTCATTCAGACTTACCCCGTGTCCCAGAGAGAGTAGAAGCGCCCGCTCCATGGAGCAATGTACCCTGCAGGTGCAACAAACCAAACATCAGCTTGTAATAGACTCAGAGCACATGCATCCATATACTTCCATCAAACTGAAGACTGTTTTCACTTCCATTCATTTTTGTAACTACATTTATGCCAAACCAAGATATTTTTCCTAACTCAAACCGTTATTAGTTTATTTCTAACACTAACCTGAACCAAAACTTAATTCACACCATACTAGGGATGCACCGATATGCAAGTTTCAGCCGATATCGATATTATGGCCAGTAACCGGTATTACACAAACACACAAATTATATTATACATGTACGCACAAACACTCTTTGGTCTTTTTTTTCCATACGGTAATTAAACAACCAGACCTCTGACATGGCTTTCTGCTTCAGTTATTCCTGGCTGCGCAGCATCAATATCACTATCATGATCAAACAGATGCCAATCAACCATATACCCTCCCAAAACAGAAACACAAAGCTAAAAAGTGGGAAATCAATATCAGACCGGACCGATACGATATTCTAAAAGATGACCAATATCGGCCGATACCGATATCATTAAATATATATCGTGCATCCCTACACCATACCTCTAAACCTAACTAGTAGAGTGCAGTAGAGCAGCAACAAAAGGGAGGACATTTAAGAGGTCTTCACTTTATATCAAAGACTTCATTTTGATAGTAACTATGGTGCAAATGGGCCTCACGCTGTAGTAGAAACAAGTACACACACACACACACACACACAC